ATGCATTACTAAGGTATATTTTGTTAAAAAAATAACTGGGGGGATGGAGTTAAATGAAAGATTCTCGAATTTAATTTTATACTTTTGTTTACAAATATAATAACTACGTATTATTCAATTCTAGCAGTAAATATTTTGTGTTTGTGTGTGTTGAATGCGATAAATTTTATAATTATTTTGTTTACTTGCATCATTAGTTAACACGTTGGTATTATGTATGCATGACTTTCAATTACATTCTTCATATCATTAAAATTTTTAGTGTCAAAGCATCAAAGTAATGAAAAAAAACAAATTGCATTACCTACTTTGCTGCGAGATGCTATAAATCAATTGAAATAGCGATTGACGGTAGATTACTAGTTACTTTGTAAAGTTTTTCAAAAATAGTTTTTGCTCCCTAAATAACTCATACTTTAACGCTGGAGTGCTGTACAAGCAGAGCGTGTTTAGAAGGAGCTTTCCACAAAGCTCTGATATTAATTAATATTGCCTTTCGAGGACATATTGTCGATCCTTGATGAATTCTTAGCTTCGTTGAGAAAAATTGGAGTTGAATCTATAGTACTGCAGGTATAACCATACTAGGCAGTTTGGGTTTTTGGATCGCACGAGAATGAGGCACTCAACCGTACTTGAGGAGCTCGTTTTCATTCCCACCTCAAAGTATTTTACATCTCAGAGCTAGTGCTAAGCAATATCTTCTCACCAATAATCCCTTTATGGGAGAAAGTCAAATTGTATCAAGTTTGATTATTTGACTTAACCTCTTCATATTTCCACTTTCATAATTGTTTGACGAAGAAGACTAGGATCAACTATGGACTTTCTTTTAACGTTTTTAACGTTTGTGAAGCTGAAACTGAAAGTTCTCGAATGACATTGTTTACCAACTCTAAAAAAGTGATTTTTTGTGGGCCGGTCTTATATGGTTATATGGATTTCTCTGATATCAGCCGGTTCCAACCAATCTTAGCTAACTTTTTCACCAAAAAATATCTTTAAAGACAAATCAAGATGCATATTTCTTCAAACCTTATTATCGCCTTGAAATTTTGTTACATGGCCTTTCGCTTAGAATAGCAGGAAAACTACTCTTCTTTCCATGAAGTGGATAGGCACAGTTCTATGCGAAAACATCGCACTTTTAGTCATTTTTACTTGAAAATCATTTTTTTTGGACAAATTTTGTATGATTGCTTATGCCTAGCAGAAGTAAGTAAGTATGTTCGCTGCGGGTAGAACATTCAACTTGAGCATGACCCGTATGGTGCACATGGGTTACACTTTCGTGAAAGACTTTTAGTGGCGAAGAATGATCCAGACATGCAAATAAGTAGTTAGATCAGCAAAGAACCTAATATTTTGACTTGTTATTATCGTTCTTTGCAAAAATACAAAAAAATTGCCAAAATACAAATAATCACAGCAACGTGTGTTGAGTTCTGCTAATACTGTACCGTTAGATTTCCAAAAAAAAAAAAAATTCGTCAATGCCACCTGTTTGTTTCAAAAAAGAACAAAGAAAGCACGAACTCATAAGGCACAAGGACAAAGTAACCAACAAATAAAACGAATATTTTCTCCACTTTTTTTCGGCATATCAAAGCATTTTTTACGGTCTGATGTTGCAAATTAATGCTGCCTACGTAGGTGTGCTCGTATATTCAACATCACATGAGTGCAGCAGCGAGCGTTTGTGCAAATAAAGCACGCTAAGTAAATATTGTAGCAATTGGCAATGTCAATAGTTGTATATATGTGTGCATACGTGTATGTTGTTATCTCTTTTATCGCAAGTATTGTACTATGATACACCAATATTTATTGTATTAAACTCTTGTTAACAATATTCGAAAGCCGCCTACCGTGACGCTTAAGTGGTTGTAACGGTGTGTTGGTGGTATTTTATTTATGCCTCACATAAATTTGCGTATAATGTTTATTCGTTAATAGCAATTAAATTGGGTGGCCTATACACGGACATACATACATACATATGTAGATGCTTGCAAATAAAAAAAATAAAAATAAAAATTAAAATTAAAACACCTGTATGCATATAATGCAGAATACATACAACATACATACATTTTGTATATGCACATAAATATGCCTGCTTTTAATTATATTTATTTGTATGCATGTACATTTGTAAATACATATTTATAAGCATCACATTGTTAGCACACAAATTCAACGGTAAACGATATTGCATAAATCAACATGAAAAATATATTTTATTTTATTTTTTTTTCGCAGCAGAAAGAACAACAAAAGAGAACAATGGGCTTGCCGTTGCTGAATTGTGTTAAGTTGAGTTGAGTGATGGAAAGCTGGGTTGGTTGATATGTTAAGACTTATTATCGGCATTACTTGCCAACAACAACAACTGCAATAAATGTATTTCTGTTATGTAAAGGTTGTGTTGTTACACACGCAGTTATATATAGATATTTATACATGTGTATGTGAAAACCCCAACTGCAAATCTATGCAATCTGGTATGCAATTAAATTTAACTATTTTTAATTAATTATTTTTTTTTTTTAATTTTAAAAGCATAAATTTAGGAGGATTTTTTACTTTATTTTCCATTTTATTAATTTAGCGCGCAATTTGATTAATTCGACATTTTTTCTTTGACAAAATTACATAAATGCAGTTGGAGGACGCTTCGTTGATGGAACTTTTCGATTTTTTATTCAACCTTCGGCACATAATAAACATAACAACGAGAGGGGGGGGAGAAGATTATTTATGATTTTTATTAGTAGAGGAAGATTGTATATTTATTTCGAAAGAAATAATATTAATAAGATTTAATTAACATAAATGTGGATACAGGTTTGCTAACAAAAGCTGGAGGACTTTCTTCACACAAGTTCTTGAATAATCTAATCTATTAAAGAAGTGCCACCTTCTTCAAAGTTAATATGAAATTATGGAAGGGAAAATATGAGATAATAATACTTAAATGAAGAAGAGGAAGAATTTAATTATTACGCTTTTAATTCACGAATCGTGTTTAAATATTGAGGTATAAATAAATATATTTTTGAGCAAATAATTTTAATATTTAATTTTTTTCAATCTATTTTTCGCCAAAAGTTAAGTAACTGCGTATAATTTTAATACATATATTTTAACTTAAAACTTTTTCCAGCTGTTTCCCCACGTCATATGAATTAAAACGTTGAAAAGTGCATTATTTTCAATGCTACAGCAGCGGGCAGTGAACTATGGGCAGTTAGCGAAACAGCATGCGTACATACATATCAGAGTAGCATCGTCAACAACAATTACAACTATAACAAGATTGAATGCAATTAAAAAAAGCATAATTCGAATAATTGTCAAAGTCGGGCGAGTAACTCCTAATAGCAAACGAGCGCGACTAAGCGAGTATTGATTAATGGTAATTACGCCAAATGCCTACCATTTACACTATACTACACGCTACCTACATACATACACACACAAGTAACAATAGTATGTACATATGTGCGTAATTAAGCGTTGCAACAATTTAGTTGGCGTACGCTGCTGATGAAAAATCAGTTGAAAGATTTTTAGTTCAAGATATTTGCTTTAATGCTATGCGTTTAAATATCTGGTTATGCAGCTAAGTGCTCGTAGTCACGCATTTGCGCTCCCATTCACAGAAATTGTAGTTTAAGAATAATTTTTTTGAAATTTGTTATTTTGCAAATTTTTCTTTTTTTCTTTTTGCTGTCAACAACTTGCCACAATTTTTAATTGTTTTTTTTTCATTAATTTTCTTAATTTTTATTTGTGCAACTGGAACTCATTTAAAGGTATTTTTTTTGTTGTTTTTTATTTTTATTATTCCTTCTGTTAATTGTTTTATACGTTTTGTTGTTTTTGTTTCTACATAGCTGGTTTGACAAGTCTGAAAAGTAAATGCCAATGTCTTAGAAATATGTGGCTTAGGCCTAAATATGACTTCATTACTAGTTTACTAAGTGTGTTACGAGTATAAACACCGTTGCACAGTGTTGTGGTGCACTTGGAATTGTGGAATAAAAGATAAAAGAATATAATTTTTTTCTCAAAAAAAATGACAATCTCCTCATATTTTTTCCACAATTAAAGACTTTTGTATTTAGAAAAAAAAAAAATAATTTAAACTTTTCAATCAAAAAATGGTCGGAAATGGTCGAATTCATTTTAAGTTAAAACAAATCGATAGGAAAGATTATTTATTGTTCTTGCATTTAAAATTAATGATTTTAAACTTACTCTAAAATTTATTAAAAAATAAAAATACATTTTAAAATTTTTAAGTTTTTTTATAATGAGGTAGATTTTCCCAAAAAAAGAAAAAAAATCTAAAAATATTCCTACTCAGCCTTTAAAAAGATTTGATTTTAGGAATGCATCAATAATACCTTAAATTAAAAATTTTTATTTTCTCTTTAATTAAAATCTCTGTGCAGTTTTTGTTAAAAAAATAATTGTATTTTATTAATTTATTTCGCTTTTAATTTTACTTTCTTCAATTAGCTTCTTATTTATATGTTTTGTTCCATTCATTGTCTGCATTCGGATTTACAACAAAAATTAATATTTCTAATAATTGCATTTTGATTGGTACAGACCTGTCCCAACAAACAATATTGTGTGCAAATTTATTATATAAGCGCTATTAATTTTTTTCTTGTAAACTGTTCTACAGTAATTATATGGAGATGAGCAATTGAAAAGCGTGATCGTTTTAGCTTTAATTACAAATCTGACCTTGCTATTATATACGAGCGCATTTAATTGATTTTTAAAAACAAGTTTCTAATGGAATGGAGTTATTTTGAAAGTCGGCAATTTTTTTCTAAAAATTTTTTTATTCAAAATCTGTTAATAGTTTGTGTCACCATGGCGAATCAGCCTTGTCTAGTTCTATTTAACCCAACTTTAATTGTTTTATTTTAGTGATTCAATTCCATTTAATTGTAAAATTGTAATTAATTTAGTAAACTTACCACCGCCATGGTGGCCACCACCAAACCGAAACAGAAGGCAATCTGAGGCACCGATGGTGAGTAGGCATCACCGCCCGTGCAACTTCCAACACCGATGGCGACCAAGAAGAATGTGCCTATGAACTCGCCTATAAGAGCGCGCCATATCTTCTTGTTTTCTGTGATGTCACTGACACCGATGATTTTCGGAATATCTGCAATGTAAATAAGAGGAAAATAGTAGAGTTAAAAAGTGGTGGGAGGTGAAATAAATAAAAAGTTCAAAAGTTCAAAAAAAGAACGAACATAAAATAAAATTTTTGCCAAAAAAAAAAATTACTAAAACACACTCATGTGTGCTGGCGGCTTGTATTTAGTTAAGTATTTGCTTGTATGTATATTTTTTTTCAACAAACAGACCATTAGCTGAGCAAATACTCCAAAATTTGTATTGGTAATTCTTTTCCTCCTCAAATGGCAGTCAAAGAAAACATCACAAAGAATTTATTTGTCAAAAATCACTCAAAACTATTGTACAAACAATAGTTTCTGAGCTGATAAAAGCATTTTGATGTTCCGGCAATGAACCTGAAATTCTTCTATTGCAAATCAATCAACACAGTTAAATTATGTTTTTTTTTCTCAAAAGCAATCAATGAATTCTACAGATAGCAGAAACTATTCGCGCACATCCATACAGATACGTAAAAATGTAAAGAAATTGATATTTTTACCTCAAAGCGAATAGTGAAATACCATAAAATTTCATATTTGTTTTAGCAACCGTAAAGACTTAAGTGATTGCCTTGATTGACAAGCATGAAGATATATACACGAGTAACTTCATTACCGTGCGTGGCTTGTTGCACACATACTTTGTATGCATACATACATACTGTTAGCAATCACACGATTTAGTCTACTTTATTGCCGTCGCTTGGAAACACCTCAACACGTGATGTCGACGAGTAAATTATGTGTGACAAAAAGGTGCGAAGTATTTAATTTATTGATATTATTCACTCTTCTTCAAAAATATGTTTGCTTTGAAAGAAATGCACGATGCTCCTACTTATGCATATGTGTAACTATAGTTTTACGATACACAAGCTATATTACTCGTAATAACCATAGGACGCAACTCATTTTTAAAATAAGGCGATCAGAAGATGAGAACACAGCAACTTCCTATCGAACTCAACTTTAAACAAAACTTCCGAAATTTCAAATGATATTCAGTTTGAATCCTTTTTTAATGATGTTTATGAATCGAAAACTAAAATCACACGCATCTTGACTTTCACATCTCAAATAAATTTTAAAACATTTTGGTTATCTTTATCACGTTTCTCTTAACACATATCTTAAGAAGCGGTCATAAAATTATGCAAACAAATTTTTGGCAAAATCTTTTGCGGCACTAAATGTCACATTTTTGTTATATGTATTATTCATATGAATGTAAGAACAATTACTACACAAGACAACAACAATACAATAAAATAATATAAAATAAAATAAAATAAAATAAAATAAAATAAAATAAAATAAAATAAAATAAAATAAAATAAAATAAAATAAATTAAAATAAAATGTAATAAAACAAAATAATACAAATAAAATTTATAAAATTTAATAAAGAAAGAATTAAAATATTTTTTTTTTAAGTTTAGAAATTCCTTCAAAATAAATTTGTTAACTTTAAATTAATAACCGTTGTAAGGCTTAGAAATGTTTGTTTGTTTTTACTTTAATTTATTTTCCATTCATAAACAATTTGTTTGTTTTATATTGCAATTATACTTTAATATCGAAACTTTTGTTCTGAATTTTAAAGCTACCAAGTAGTACTACTAGGCGTAAATTAGTGAATCTAGTAGTGGTCATACATTTCCAGAGGCTTTTAAAAAATTATTAGAAAAAAAATTTTCAACACAAGAAAACAGTGGCCTTTCCATGTTGGCACTATAAAATATATAATAAAATTAAAAACTTCACCGACTATTCAAATGAATATCTAATTCACGGCAAATGCAATGCAATTCTTCGAATGGTGTTTTTTTATTTTCAAATGTAGCGGCACTTCTAGGGATATACGGTACGAGAGATCAAAAAAAAAATTCAATCACTAAACTACTATTTGATTTTAATTTAACCACCAAGTTGTGAGCACACTAATTGTTTGATATAATATTAATTAATTTATTTTACACTTTTTTTTTTTTCAAAAAATTTACCCTCAGAAACGCGATCCATAGTGAATGTCATCTCGGTGTTTTCGTGGAAAACTTTCTTTTCCCGTTGTTCGTATGAAATTTGTACTTGTGTTGTCGTGTTGTCTACCGGAGAAGGCTGTAAGTCCAGCGACGCCATACAATTGCAGACTGTGCGAACACTTGACGAAGCACTTGAGAAGAAGTTTCACTTGCACCTTTTTGCTGTGAAACTTTAGATTTTTAGGGTGGCTCAGCGATATACCGATGATGCAATGAGGAGTGTGAATGTTAGATAACAGTTATATTATAACTAATACGCGCTAATGTGATAATGATGCTGATAATGCCACCGACCGGGCGAAGTCAAAGTGCAAACTGAATGCTTTTCACGAGCGATGAGGCTTTTCTAGCAAAGGCGATATGAAAATTGTTAACACTTTTGAATATCGCTTTTTAATGCCGCTTCAGCTGTTAACTACTCGTATTCTCCGTGTGTTGTCTTTATTTAGTTTTGTATTGCTTTGCTATTATTTTTGTACTTATTTTTACTTTTTTGATGAGCTACGTCGAAACCGTCAAAACACGCGAGTATTACGCGAAAAAAAGTGTTAAGATAAAAATAACACAACAACAATAAATGTAATAACAGCGAACTGTGCTGCTATAATTAATGAAAAAAATTAAACAAAAACACCAACAACACTGGCGAATAAATTCTAGCGCGTATAATTGCTAATTCAAACGTAATGTTAAATTAAACAGCAAATAATGTGAAATGTTTCACACTTAGCGCATTTGTCGCAGATTTGCGGACGCCTCCTGGTGACTGCTTTCAAGTATTTGCAAATTTTTATATTAAACTCTAAAGTTTGGTGGCGACAACAGGTGCGCTTGGTTGACGGTCGATTTTTGAACTAAAGCTAGCGGTTAGCGTGCGATCGCTTTTTTTCGGCGGGGGTGGCTCAACTCTGCTCAGTTCACTTTTGCTGCCGTCACTGTATATCGCTTTTGGTGCTGACTGGTTGCTGGGGTTGCGCGTGTGGGGCTGGGGCTTTGAGTGTGTGATTGAGACTGTGAAAACGCCAGATTCGTTCGTAAGGGAAGGTGCACCTGAGTAACAGCGATTGCTGACGTAGCCAACACAGGGCGTCTGATAAAGCCAATAGTAACAGCAACAAAAACAACAAAAATAGTAGAGTTCTATAAGAATATTAGTGAGCATAAAATTATCTAGAAGGTGGCATGACAAAGCATGGGCACGCAAGGCGAGTTAAGATAGCACATTACGCATACGTAGCAAGAAATGATAATGACGACGGGTTTTTGGCGCGTTTTTAATATATGTGTGTAATGATAGATAGGGTGTCGCTGGAAGCTACAGTGATTTTATCAAGTGGTAGTACACTCCAACAAAGCCTCAGTTTTACTCACTAATTTATAATAAGTACTGCTCTCAACGCGAAGCTGAGTACTTCATAAGCCTCTGCTGAAGAGCACTAATATTTATATTAATATTAATATTTATGAATTTGTTGCTTAATTACAACTTAAGTACTCAACTAAATACTATTAAAATAACAAACTGATGAAATATTTCTATTTATTCATGTCAAAAAATTAAAAAAAATTGCTTAAAAATAAATAAAAATTCAACTGTAAACTATTTGATACCATTGGAGAAGAAATATATATTATATATAATTGTAGATTTAGAGCACTGTCTGCACGGGGAGCAGATAGCATCAGGCAATTAATTAAATAATTTGTAAATTTATCTGCATTAGTGTGTGCATTATTTGCCAAGTTAATTTTTTTAGTTGAAAATATTATTTTAGGTTATGATATAGTGATATGCTAGTGGTTGTATGTACATATATTTTAATGTTTGGAAGAATGAATTATCAAAAGACATGTCGAGACCTTAGTAGTGCACTTGATTTCCAACAGGAAAATGGATCTCTCGCAGAAGTAAGTTTAATTATTTATGCGAAAATTCAAACTGTATAAGGTGTTAAAAATTATTCCTTATTATTTATATGGAAAATATATCGTCTCATGGGCAGGACATTATTCGAGTAAAAAAATTGTTTTTAGCCTTATTTAAAATTTTCTTTCAAGTAAAAAGTTAACGGGGACGCTCGTTAAATTAAGCACATCTTAATGTACATACATATATTTATGCCCAATCTATATTTATTTCGTTTTGCTTTTTGTATCAAACTATCGAACGTTGTTGTTGTTCGCAAAGTATTAACACTTGTCAAAATAATTAATTTAAGCGCCAGGTTGCGATTATTTATCGTTTGATTGCTGCCGAAACCTTTGAGGACAAAGAGTTTATTTAACGAAATAATATACTTTTAGAAGTCGCGTTGGACTAATTAAAATTATTTAGTTTTTGATAACTCAGTCTAAGTAGGTAGGTAGGGTTGAAATGGGAAACCACTAATGTGGCGGGGCTATAGTTGAGTTGGGTTCAAACAGCAACAAATATTGTATTTCGATTTAAAGCCAATTATGAGATTACTCTGAACGAATTGGGTTATATGTTTACTTAAATATATATAAATAAACAAAAAAGCGAAATTAAAAAAATTTAAATTTTATACAAATAAGGTGTAAGAATTTTTTCATATACATAAATGACGAAAGCCAAGCAGTTAAACCACAGACGTCAATAAAAATACAATACATTTTTTAAGCGCAGGTACAACGACTTCATACATACTCGTACATACATATATGTAAGTATTGTATCTACACTGTTCAAATATTGTATGCTGATTGACGATAAACCAGTGCAACGACGTTGACAATTTTTAATTTAATTTAAGTCACGTTTTCTCATTCAACACTGCCATCTCTCCCTCTCTCCTCCTCTCTCTCCGCGCTCATTATGTTGAGTTATTTAAAGCAAAAAAATTTCAAGTAATTATTTTGAGTTTTGCGAGGGCGTGTAATAAATTAGACAGAAAAAAAATTTTAAAAATTAAAATATA